CAATATTGTTATTATAATTATTTTTATTGTTATTTTTAGTTTATTATTAGATGACCGAATTTATTAGGATATTTTTGTTAGTTTAATTCGGTTAGTATAAGATAAGCTTAACTTTAAAGATCATATTTGCAAAATATTATCTTTACAAGTTAGAGTTAGTTTCCTAGTTAGATTAGAATTTGTTTTACCGATTTTTAGGCTAATTATTTAGCTTATAAATACGTGATGGTGTTTAACGAAAAGTATGATTGATTGATTTGAAATTTATAAAGGTTTACGTAAGCTTGTGCTTGTGTATTCTTGGCCTAGTTTAGGTTTTAAGCTCGTGTTTCTTAGCGTTTCTTGACCGAGACTCAAGATTCCAAACCTTTCAACTGCGATTGAAGGTTATATCCATCAAAATTCATATCAAATTGGTGTGGCTGCTGTTTGACGAGGGACGAGTTTGACAATTTGTGTCAAAAAACTCAGTTTCGAATGTCATATTGATCGACTTGGTTCTCCTTCGTTTCTAAATATTTTGAGGTGATTCTTTTTTTCAAATTGGTTACTTTTTTGTCTAGTTTTACCTGCAAAATTTGAGAACTTTTCGAGAAGCATAGCTATTAAACTGGGTTCGTTCTTTACACCTGGTCAAAAATCAAATTAATCTGCCATTGTTGAGAAAAAAATAAACTGCGATTACTTGGCTGGGAATGTTTTTCTGAATTTTTGGTCGAGTATTTTAGACAGATAGGGCTAGCAGTATACAAAATTTCAGATTTTTTCGAGGTGCTTTCATTGGGTTTTGGTCCTCGTACTTTCGATCAATTTCTGGACTGGTTTTGTCTGTTTTCTCATCCACATAAACATGGAAAATAAAAGTTGGTTTGAAGCATTTATGATGGAAATCAAGAAATTGAATGAATGTTTGGATAGAATTGATGCTCGTTTTCAAATTCGTGACGTGAGATGTGGTGTACAAGATATGTCTTATGAGAAAGAGAAACTAGAGCAACCAATTGTTGAGGCTATATACGAGGAAAAGATTGTATCTTTACCGAGTGATAATCTTACAAATCCAATTTTAGAGCAATCTCATGAACAACTAGTAGAAGAAAAAGAAATTATGGAGCACAAAAGTGTATTTTTGTCTAGTTTTGTTGACGAGGAGGTTACATTTGAGCTATCTAAGTTGGTAGCAAAAAGTCAAATTTCTACAACTTCCTTTTATGGTGATAATTGGGATACAAATATTTTCACGTATTATTTCCATTATATTGATTGCATTGACAAAGGTGTGTCATCAATTAAAATTTTGGAGCATTCAATTGAAGTTTGTGGTGCATTCATTGGTGTAAAATATAAGCATGACGTGGTTGGATGGAGACATATTCTTTTAGCTCATGTTCGATTAATTTGGATGATATCTTGGTTCCATGATTTGCTAAAACTTGGGACAAGTTTTTTTCAAGAGGGGGAGTATGATGCGGTTCCAAGGCATCAATATTGTTATTATAATTATTTTTATTGTTATTTTTAGTTTATTATTAGATGACCGAATTTATTAGGATATTTTTGTTAGTTTAATTCGGTTAGTATAAGATAAGCTTAACTTTAAAGATCATATTTGCAAAATATTATCTTTACAAGTTAGAGTTAGTTTCCTAGTTAGATTAGAATTTGTTTTACCGATTTTTAGGCTAATTATTTAGCTTATAAATACGTGATGGTGTTTAACGAAAAGTATGATTGATTGATTTGAAATTTATAAAGGTTTACGTAATCTTGTGCTTGTGTATTCTTGGCCTAGTTTAGGTTTTAAGCTCGTGTTGCTTAGCGTTTCTTGACCGAGACTCAAGATTCCAAACCTTTCAACTGCGATTGAAGGTTATATCCATCAAAATTCATATCATATGCCAAATTTTACGGCTCATTATTGTTACAAACATTGCTATGTAAGAGGTCTATATCCCTTTTAATTTGAGATATTTTGACGTAGGATATAAATTACAAAAATATATAGATATATGTTTCGGGTGATTTTGTGATTTCCCCTGGGACACTGGTCACATTCTTCTGACATATGGCCCGGACACCTGCAAAACACGAATATTCCGTTGCCGGAATATTCACCTCCGACGATTAAGTTAGTAACCGGAAGACGGAAAAGCTAGAGAGAAAGTAAAGAGAAGTTGGAGCTGTTTTTTAATGCTCTAATTGAATTTTATTTCACAATCCCCTCTCCCATCATAAATTATTGGGGTATTTATAGAAAAGGAGATTTGTAATTTTTAGGGTTATTACCCCTGAATGACGTTTTCTGATTGGCAGCGCAATCAGGTATGGACACGTGTCCTTGGGGGTGTCGTTTTGCGGCTTTCTCAAGATTTGGGCATCCTGATGTAATGAGGTCATTATCTCTCTTTTTTCAGGTGCTCTCAATAGGGCTTGCATACGTGTTATCTTCCTATAGTGACACATGTAACTATGGGATCGGGCCACATTTTAGGGTAATTTTTACCCCAAACAATATCCACGTGCACGTGAAAAGGACATTGTTAGAACAGAAGGAGCTGCTATTGAATGCAAAGTAACTGTCATGCTTATACGGTCTTAGCATCTTAGCTATATGAGAAAAATATATATTGTTATTCGAATTTTCTACTCGTGGATTAATAATCACTTGACAACCATACTTGTATAATAAAAGAAACAGATCATAAAGTCATGAGTTACTATTTTTAAAATATATCATAGATTGATTTATTTTGAAATACTCTTTTACACGAATAGTATGATATAAAAATAATCAATTATTAAGATAATAATTATTGAAAGTTATAATTTAAGTTGTACATATAAAATTGGTATGTTACATAAAATAAAACTCTTAACCAACAATTTTATATTTTAAAATTTATCCAGATATTTATTGAAAATTAAACTCTAAACTTATTATTTTTCTTCTTTTAATATAAAATCTATTAAAATCTACACAACATTTTATCCTGCGTGTCATATTAATTTCCTTGGCGTGACACTTGATAAAAGGATAAAAATTTACCTTTATATACTACTTATATGATATGACTCATAAATCAAATAAAATTATATTTTACCACCTCTTATCATTATTCCGGTCAAGTTTTTAGCTGTAGGGCCCGTATAAGGTATAATAGGTAGTTTGATCATTTTATGTAATGTTTTTTTCTCCTTAGTTTGTTTTCGCCTACCAAACTAATACTCCCTCCGTGTTTTTTTAAGTGTTACATTTTGACCGGTACATAATTTTAGGCAATTTAATTGACTTAAATAAAATAAGAGGTAAGTGGGGTAGTTGGAGTGTTAAAAAATTGTAAAAGAAAGATAGTAGAGTTAATAGTTTATTGAAAAATAATGAATGTGAGAGGAGAGATATAATAAAAAAAAATAAGTAGTGGGTTTGGGTGGGAATCATGAGTGGAGAGAGATATAATATTTTAATGTAGTCTTTTGCCAAAAATAGAAGTGTAATACTTATTAAAACACGGTCGGATTTGGTAAGTGTAACACTTAGGGCCTGTTCTGATTGACTGAACTCAGCTGAACTGAACTGAACTGAGATATTATTATTATTATTATTATTATTATTATTATTATTATTATTATTATTATTATTGTTATTATTATTATTATTTATTGATTATTATTATTAGTATTATTATTTCAATTATTATTATTGTTATTATTATTATTATTATTATTATTATTTATTGATGATTATTATTATTATTATTTATTACTAATTGATTATTATTATTATTATTATTGTTAATATTATTATTATTATTATTATTATTGTTGTTGTTGTTGTTGTTGTTGTTGTTGTTGTTGTTGTTGTTGTTGTTGTTGTTGTTGTTGTTGTTGTTGTTGTCGTTGTAATAAGAGCTTAAAAGAATGAAATTTGGCTTTATATCATTAGCAATATCATTAGACATAAATTAAGAGCTGAACTGAACTGAATAGAATTTCAACGGAAGAGAACAGGCCCTAAACAAACACGGAGGGAGTAATCTCCTTGGTTTTAACACTACTGTAATTCAAATTTCTTCCCCATATATTGTCCTCTCGTTTCATTTTTAGTACTACCTCCGTTACAGGTTATGTGCAACGATTAGACATTTTTCCTCTTTACTTTATGTCAAATCGTTGCACATAACCTGTAATAGAGGTAAAAATATTTTTCCACTCTCCTCCACAATAATCCACTAATGTTAATTTGTTTTTCATTTTTTTTTATTATTTTTCAAAATACCTACTTGAATAATAATTTAAGGGCTAGACCCAGTTCATTCCCCGGATATATAAAATTTGTTTATCGGGGGTATAATTGTCTTTTCAAGTACCAATGAAGGGGTATATGCGTCTTTTCATGTACTGTTGAGGGGTACATTTGTAATTTCCTCACCAAACAGTAAGCAAAAAGCAAACAGTAATTGGATATCTCACCAAAAGTAATGAATAAATGACCCTGCTTTTTTAATATATTTACAAAAATGGCATTAGATTAAAAAAAATTTATTTATCTGACAGATTAACTTGTATTTTCCAATAATTTAATGCATAAAACTCTTTTTTACTAAAACTCCGTAAAAGTCAACATATCACTTATTAAAAACAGGAAGGAGTATTCCTTCTACTATCATTTGGTTTTGAAATGAGTCATCCATTGGTTCCATGGTTTTAATAGTGGGTGAAGCTCATATATGCACATTCAACATCACATATCCAAATAAAACAGAAAACGTTTTGTGACAAAGGGATAAAGTAACAGAAGTGATGTGAACACAATATTGATCTCACTACTTGTTTCATTGTTTGTCTAAATAAAAAAGATAAAAATAAATAAATCAATAAACAAATCTCACTACTTACTTAGTAGTATGATATTTATTGAACTTGACCGCTTTTTAAAATTACTTTCACTTTAATTACCCCCCAAGTAAATAAAAGGGTGCGTGATTTGTAATCATCATGAGGTCATTACAATAGTTGGATTACCAATAAGAAACAAGATCAAAAACATTTAAATAAAAAAAAATAATAATAATAAAAAAAACACTAAACTCCTTATTTATTTATTTTTATTTTTTTACAATAAGTTAAGCAGGCAACTAGAATAGAGATGAGAGAAGAGCATACATGTATGAGAGAAACCAACCCCCACTTTTGTCTCTTGGTAAGGCATTCACCTACCCCGCAAGTTCTCCCATTCTTTGAAAGACCAAATCCTCACCTACTATCACTTTTTAAGGGTCTTTTTAGTCTTTTTCTTCATTTTTAACGTGTTTTCTCTTAATCCACCATATGTGAATGCATGAATTTCCATTCCTTGTATCTCACCATCCCCCTCCACTAATTCTCCTCCCTATATATTCCTCTTTTTTCTCCTTCACCTAAATCACTCAACATTTTCCTTCTTTCTTTGCTTAATATTATCTTCAACATTTCAATCATTTTCCATAACTACAACGTTACTACTACTACTAAGACTACTGCTTAATTCTTATCGTTATCCTTATTAAGGCAATCATTCATACCTTTATTTGTACATCTTTCATTTCTTTCATTGGTTCCTTAATTTTCTCATTCATCCTTCCTTTCGGAAAGCGAAACAGAATTCGAAACTTCAATCCTTTGTTCATTCTCCGCTTCTCATTACCCAACCAAAAAAAAGTAATGGGTTCACTTGACCTCAAACAGGAATCTACCCCCTTCATGAACAACAACAACAACAACAACAACCCCTTAGACCCTGAGGAATTCAGGAGACAAGGATACATGGTCATTGATTTCCTCGCCGAGTACTACAAGAATATCGAGAAGTACCCGGTTAGGAGCCAAGTCGAGGCCGGGTACCTTCGCAAGAGGCTACCGGAATCAGCTCCGTACAACCCTGAGTCCATGGAGACTATCCTTAAGGACATCCAAACCGATATCGTCCCGGGGCTAACACACTGGCAAAGCCCGAATTATTTCGCATATTTCCCAAGTAGTGGCAGCACAGCTGGTTTACTAGGAGAGACTTTAGCTGCAGGATTCAATGTTGTTGGATTCAATTGGATATCATCTCCTGCTTCCACTGAACTCGAAAGTATTGTTATGGATTGGTTAGCTAACATGCTTAGCTTACCAAAAACCTTTACTTTTGCTAGCGGCGGCGGTGGTGTTATGATGGGAACAACCTGTGAAGCCATCTTAACCACCATCACCGCTGCTCGCGATGCCCTCTTAGACAAAATTGGACGTGACAACATCAACAAACTCGTGGTTTACGGCTCCGATCAAACTCATTGCTCATTCTTCAAGTCAGCCAAAATCGCCGGGATTTCTCCTAAGAACTTCCGCACAATCAAAACCTCCAAGGCACACGCCTTTTCGCTCCGGCCAGAATCCTTAAGAGCCACTATTGAAGCCGATATCAACGCCGGCTTGATCCCACTCTTCCTAGTAGCCACCGTGGGGACCACCTCAACAGCCGCTGTGGACCCCGTTGGACCCCTTTGCGACGTAGCAAAGGAGTACAACATGTGGGTCCACGTAGACGCTGCCTATGCCGGTAATGCTTGCATCTGCCCCGAACTCCGTCACATGATCGACGGAGTCGAAAAGGCCGATTCATTCAGCTTCAACGCACACAAGTGGTTCCTCACAACACTAGATTGTTGCTGTCTTTTTGTCAAAGACCCTAACTCTCTTGTACGTTGTTTATCAACCAATCCTGAGTACCTTAAAAATAAGGCTACAGACACTCAACAAGTCGTTGACTACAAAGATTGGCAGCTAACACTTAGCCGCCGGTTCCGGTCCCTCAAGATGTGGATGGTTATTCGAAGTTACGGAGTCGACTACCTCCGTAACTTCCTCCGCAGCCACGTCGACATGGCTATTTACTTTGAGCAGTTGGTTAACAAGGATAAGAGGTTCGAGATCGTTGTCCCTAGGAGTTTCGCCTTGGTTTGCTTCCGCCTTTCGGCTTCAGCTGTCATTCAGTGTTCTGGACAGAAATTCCTAGAAGAGGAAACTTTGAATGAGATCAACACCGAGTTACTCGAGTCCATCAACTCGGCTGGCCGTATTTACATGACTCATTCTCTAGTTGATGGCACTTTTATGATACGTTTCGCGGTTGGAGCCACCCTTACTGAAATTCACCACGTTACCTGCGCATGGAAGGTTGTTCAAGAGCATGCCACCGCTATTCTAGCTCGCAGAAGCCGCAATTGCTAATAATAGCAGTAATAATTCTACAACGAAAGCATTGCTGATTACGTGCTTTGTTAGTTGGTCATTTTTTAACGATAAAATCGCGACGTTAAACAAAACTAAGGTAAGGAATTAAGAAGGTTCCATCTCCGGTGTTGTAAATGATAACGATGATGAACATTGTACTTTTTTTTTTTACAATAAAATTATTTTTTGTTTCTTAATTTTAAAAAAATATTAGTGAGGTGGTAAAACGGAGGAAAAAATGGTACGAAGGTAGGAAAAAAATATAAATTAAAATTTCTATTTTCCCGCCTACCACTAGGTTTATCTTCAAACCTCCCCACTACCTAAACTAAACCACTTAGCTTTATTATTATATTTTTTTTATATTTTGTATCTATTTTTAATTATTCAAGAGTGAATCACTATACCAACTTAAATGTTTGTAATGGACAGCAAACTAGTGCACGAACAAGCTTGTATTTAGTACAATAATTTATTTTTTTTATTCTCTTTTTATATATATATCAATGAAGTGCAAATTTGTAACACTTGTGTATATATTATACTTGTTTTTGTTTACATGATCCATTTATTTGCAACATTTATTTCTAAACTTGTGAATTGTACTGTCATAATACTAGAAACTCAAAGTTGTATCACTTATACATATAATTTTGATGGTCGATATTATAAAAAGATTGACGTTGCATATGTATACTCAATTATATATATAAATATATGTACCTAACAATTTACTTTTGAAGCAATATTGTATCAAATAACATCAGAATCTAAAAAAGGTATTACAAAACCGGATAAGATATTAAAAGATTATTAATCTTAAATAATGGGAAGCTTGCTTCTGTTGCAAAAATGGTTGTCAAAATGGTAGTGGGAGAGGGGTGAAGTGAGTTTGAGGTGAAGGAGTGATATCTTTCTTTCACTTTCCTAACAAGGTTTTGGCGACCAATTATTTATTCATATAGCCAACCTTATTTATGGTAACAACAAATTTAATTTCTAGCCACTCCATCTCTAATTTGATGTATTAAAAAAGTTCGACTCATTTTAACAATATTCAATATCAGTCAAACATCAAAATTATTTATAAGATTGTTCTTGAACATCAAACATTATCCACTTATGTACATTTATAGTGTAACACCCCAATAATTCTCCCATTTCCAAACCACTTACTTTAAATAAAAATAAAGGAGAATTATTGGCATGTTACCGCCACGTGTTAAAACTTTAAGGATTTATCAAAGTATTGCAGCGGAAATCCAACTTAAATCTTAAAATAATATAATTTAGAAAATCAATAAGTCTAAGCTAACAAATTGGAACCATAAAGACCCTTATTTAAAACCAAACCAATAATCAAAGTCCCAAAACATAATTAAAGTAGTAAAACATAAATAAGTTCAACACAAAGGACGAATACTCTCAATCACACCAATCTCTTGACAATGCGTATGTCAAATCACCGAACTTCACATCATCAAACTAACCTGTGCAATACTGCTCCCCAATAATACAAGTGTAATAATTGGATCATCACAAGGTCATTGAAAGGCAAAGGCCATGACCAAAAGAAAACACACAAAAACACGCAATCAGCAAAGCTGAGTACATACAAGCTACAACGTACAAAACCTGACATGCTCAACTAATTAAAATAAATAAACATACAACTTGAATTCATTAATCAAGACTCCACACTTAAACAATTCAATTGACTCAACATACTTTCTAACCAATTCTAAACACTCGACTCTTTATATTTAATTTAATTAATTTAGTTTGGAGTAAGCAATAGACGAGTTGTCCAATCCACCAAATCATTTTTGTCCCAAATGACCATTTAAAATAAAAGTTTAGCGCGATGGAAGAATGTGCGCGACTCCATTCTCACAAATTTAGTTTAGGATCCCATCTAACTTTCATTGTAAAATAAAAATACCAAAAGAAAAGAGGACACGTTGATCAAACAAGCCTCGGAAAGCCACGGGCTACCACCGTGTACCCCAACCCATAATTGTCAATACTCTAGAAGTGCACGATTTCTAGAGTTTTATTGCTCATCTATGTTTCACTTTACGTGATTACAGTTTTAATTAATAGCCGACTCAATCCAATAGACCATACATAAAATCATACATCAATTTATTTTTAATCTTATTTAGGACAAGGGTGATCATATCACAAATTGACCTTTAATTTCATTAAACTTCCAAATTATCCAAATTGTTGAACATAGTCAACCCACCTAGCCATTTCGACTTAATCCACTTTTACTCAACATACTAACAAGTCATGCTTGATTAATAAATAAAATAATAACAACCTTGTGGAATAATTAATAAATTCATTCCACCTAAACCATTCAATTCCAATCCTTTAATAATCCAACCAATTCAATAAAATTATGCTTGTATCAACATTCCATACAAACAATTAATCCAATATAATTCAACATGTTTGCATCCATAATTCCATACAAACATAATCAATTCACCCAAACATGTCTCATAAACATAAGCACATGAATTAATTAAATGTATAACCAAACAATTTTCATCCAAGTGTTCTCTAATCATGAAACTAAGTTCTTTTCTTTGGTACCTAAACATGATACTACTTACAACGAAGTAGACATGTACGTACCTCGTGTAAACAATTCGGTTGGCCACTTAAAAACTAGAAATCACCTTCAAAAAAACTCCTCTCCTAATCCAAACAATAACATCTCAATCAATACCCAATCAATCAAATTTACAGCAACAATAACTTACTTTAAAACCTTCAAAATCCAAATCAAACAACACTTTAAAACCCTCCCTTTAGTTAAAATTAAAGGCTTATATATAGTTCTTTAAATTTTCTTCATAAAAACCTTAAAATACACTCTTATACATGAAATTACAACAAGTTTAATGTTTAATAAAAATCTTAAAATTATTTATAAAACCTCTAATAATCTCCCTTTTTAATGGGTGATTAAACCCTCTTTATAAAACATCAAAAGTAGTATTTAGGAACTATTTCCAGCACTTAAAACTTCAATAAAAAAAATATATTTATGCTTAATTAACTTTAAACATAATTAATTTTATTAATCAAACTCAAGGATAATATTTGAAGTATAAAAAAACTTCGTTAAAATCAAAAACTGCCCGAAAATCATATTTTGGCCACGAGAGGGTGGTGCTCACTACCAAAGGTAGTGAATCTTTCTTAAAAAGTTGTTTCCACATGGAAAACACTACTTTTTTTGCCAAAATCAGATGAGTTCAGAACCTGATCGGGATTAAAACGGGATTAATATTAATGAACGGAAATCTTAAAATTAAAACACGAATTTAAGTGTTCAAAACAATCTGGAATTAAGTTAAACTAATTAGTACTTATAATCACCAAAATTTTAAAACATCATTACTATAAAATCCCTAAATCAATTGTTCATAAAAACCCTAAAATCATGATTTTCAATAATTAAAAACCCTAGGTTATAAAATTTACAAAATCTGAAAATTATGACACTTGTAAAATCTGAAATTATAAAGTTTAATCATCAAAATACAACTTGATACTAATTAAATTACTTTCAAACAATAAAATCAAAATCCATAAATCAATAATTATAATTATACAAATTAATAAAACAAAGGAGAGAGAAAATAAGACTAACGTTTTTGTGTGGGAAATTTTTTGGGGATTCATGGGGTATTTATAGGAGAGAATTGTAGGGTAAATAAGAAGATTGGGCCTCATAAAAATAATGGGTCGATTAAGTAAACAAATGGGTTAGGCTTGTGTGATTGGACATAAATTGTAGAATAAAGGTGCATAAAATAATTTGTTCAAATAAATTTCGACTCAGATTAATAATTTGAAACTTTTGAAATTAAATTATGAAAAATAACAAATAAATATTATAAATAAAATAAATTTTCATTTATAAAATATTTAAGAATACGGGGGATTACATATAGTATCTATCCTTGTTGTTATTCATTTCCTCAGATCAATTGAATGAAAAAATGTTTTAGATTATACAATTTGTTGATTTAGCTCGCTTAAATATTGTTAAATAAGTACTAATAATTACGAAGGTATGACATTATATTAAGTAATTAATTTTTTTTATTAAGTAACTAGGTTAGTTCCCATGCTATGCACGGTAATTTTCAGACTTTTATTGGTGTAACACTATAATTATAATTATCGTTAGTGCTTGTAACATAATAATTCGTATTTAACTTCAAAAATAAAATTGTCAAAAAGTATTATAAACAACATGAAAAATTTAACTACGATATATTTATTTTCTTATAATTTCTAATATTTACTAAAATAAAATACGAAAAATCAAACAAAGTACAAAGAGCTTATTAACAAAATGAGTTTTGTAAAAATCCTCCTTTGACTATGAGTGTTTTAAAATTCACAACAAAGTGATGCTCTGTACTATTGTCCTTATATATATATATATATATATATATATATATATATATATATATATATATATATATATATATATATATATATATATATATATATATATATGCCTCCCATCTACCATACCTATATATACAACTTTTTTTTTCTTCAATTTTATATATATGCCTCCCATCTACCATACCTATATATACAACTTTTTTTTTCTTCCATATAAAATTGACCACTTTTAAAATTTGAAAATATAATTAAAAAAAAGGTCATATTACCGCATAGATAATATCGATCACAATAAGATTTTCCGTAGTAATAATTTGGGCATGTGGTGTAACATAAAACCCGTGGTGTATTGATGCAAAAATATTATATAAAAGAATAATTTTTAACCCATATAATTTCTATTTTAAATACTTAAAAAGTTATGATAATATGTTTAAAATTACCTACATACTTAGTATTTTTTTATTTCATCTAAAGAAATAAATGTGTATTTAAATCTGACAGGTTTGTTAATTTAATCTTTAATTAAAAAATTGCATTGTATGCTTAATAAAATAAAACATCGGTTGCATCATAAATTCATAATGTTACAGTATGTAGTTATTAGATAAAGATAGGAAACCAAAATTATACATATAATTAAAGATACTTAACATATCAAATAATGAAATAATTAATAAAAATAAAAAGTTTTGGCGGGAAAATTTTTAACCAAAAGTTGACACGTGTCATCTTTAGTTTCGCCTTTAGTATATAGTAGTTATAGATTTGAGTATACTATATAAGGAAGAAACATAATGATTATTTTGGAAGGAAAAAGTATTATTTTTGTAAGAAAGGAATGAAAATATTATACTTTGTATTACGTATATTAAATCTTTGCTAAGAAGATTTTTTGACAAAAAACCAAAAAGCAAAAAAAAAATAAAAATAAAAATAAAAAGTTTTGGCGGGAAAATTTTTAACCAAAAGTTGACACGTGTCATCTTTGGTTTCGTCTTTAGTATATAGTTATATAGATTAGTTTAAATGTACGTTGTACCATATTATATACAATTAATTGCATCCTCAAAGTAGGGACACAAACCTAAAATCCACGCCATTTGTAACTAAATCAT